TTTCATGTGCTTATCTGACAGTTATATATTTTCTTTGGGGAAATGCTTGCACATATCTTCTGCCCATTTCTAAATTGAGTGATTTCTTTATTAATGATTTTTGAGATTTCTTTATTTATTCTAAAGAGAAATCCTTTATCAGATAAATGCTCTATTTACAAAGATTTCATCCTAGGCCGTGGCTTGCCTTTTTACTCTCTTAACTATCTTTTTTTTTTTTTTTAAAGATTTTATTTATTTATTTGATAGAGACACAGTGAGAGAGGGAACACAAGCAGGGGGAGTGGGAGAGAGAGAAGCAGGCTTCCAACTCAGCCCGATGTGGGGCTCGATCCCAGGACCCCAGGATCACGACCCGAACTGAAGGGAGATGCTCAGCAATAGAGCCACCCAGGTGTCCCCTCTTAACTATCTTTAAAAAGGCAGAAGTTTTTAATTTTCATGAAGTCCAATTTCTTTTATGGATTGTACTTTGGTGTTGTATCTAAGAAATCTTTGCTTTACTCAAGGTCACAAAGCTTTCTCTCTTATATATATATTTTTAGAAGTTTAATAGCTACACATTTTATAATTTAGGTCTTTGACCCATTTCCAGTTAATTTCTGTATGTGATGCAAGACACAGATCACAGTTCATTTTTTTTTGCATATGGATATCTAATTGTTTCAATATCACTTATCGAAGACACTCTCCTTTTTCCACTGACCTGCCTTTGCACTCTTCTCAAACACCAGTTATCTATATACACATGAGTCTATTTTTGGATTCTTTATTCTGTTCCACCGATCTATAGGTCTGTCTTTATGACAACACCTCACATATCCTTGAGTACCACAGCTTTAGAATAGCTTTGAAAGCAGGGATTGTCGGTCCTTCAACTTTGGTTTTCTTTTAAGATAGTTTTGGCTATTTAAATTCTTTGCATTTTATTGGTCAATTTCTACAAAAAAAGCTTGCTGAATTTTTGGTTGGCAATGAATCACCATATTTAGCAGGCATTAAGAATTTTACAATATTAAGTCTTCTAGTCCACAAATACAGTGTATATCTTTCTTTACTTAGGTCTCCTTTAATTTCTCTTATGAATATTCTGCAGTGTACATAACTTGTACAAGGCTCAGGTCTTTCACATCTTTTGTCATATTTATCCTTAAATATAGTATATTTTGATGATAGTGTAAATAATATTAGTTTTTTAAATTTCATTTGGGATGTTTGTTGCTAATACATACAACTAATTTTTAAAAACTAATCTTAAAACTGAAACCTTGATAAAACTTACTTATTAATTCTACTAGTTTTGCTGAGGATACCACCAAGTATTCTACAAGATGTTCAAGTCATCTGTGAATAAAGACAGTATTATTTACTCCCCTCTACATCTAGAGCCATTTTATTTCCTTTTCTTGCCATATTACAAACTGGTTAGAAGCTCTGGTTACAATATTGAATAGAAGTGGGGAGAGCAGACATTCTTGCAAAGATATGCTAAAAACCAAGCTCACCCTTCTGTTTATCTCCACTAAAGAAAAAATGTCAGTAGCCACTGGATGAACAAATATAAATGGAAGATGAGATACGGGGAAATAGTCAAGCAGTATCTTCAACTGTTACAGAAAGAAAAAATCAGCCACCCACTGAGCATAACAAAATAGTGGAAAAGTTGATAACAGACATTATCTGATAGGACCATGTAATCAGAACTTAACTGAACAGAGCAGGAAAAGTCCTTCATTTAAGAGATGTTCCAACACTGTACTTTTTTTTTAAAGCCTGGCCAGTGTTCTCATGAACATTTAATTAGCACTTACTAAGCTATTCTAACACTGAGGGACCAAAAGGAAATCTGCAACTTTTAAAAGAATTATTTAAAATATTTTATGCAAATTTTATAGGTAGTATTTGGATGAGAAATTCAACAATTCTGTAAACAATGAGAAATCATTGTTGAAAACCATTCTCTCAATGAAGTCTTCACTCATCTATTAATTATGAAGTGTAATGAGGACTTTTTACTACTTATCTTACCTAATTTCTCCACAGTACTTTAAAATAATGACTACTTCTACCGTGTTTGATGCTTTTCCTATCCACTGGTTCCCAGAGCATTACTCAATCTTGGCTCTCCCACTGATTTTTAGATTACTTTTCCTTGATCTCCTTCCTTGATCCCAGGTTCTGTCTTTAGCTATCCTCTTTGTGACTTAATTCATTAACATATTTAAAGAGTTAAAGCTCTATTTACTTAAAGGGGACTCCCAAATTTATATCCCAATCCATGATCCCCTTTATCTGATGACACCTGGGAGTCATGGATGACATAGTCCTTTCTCTCAACCCTATTCATCTAATAAATAACTAAATCCTGGGCTTTATGCTGAAATAAGTCCTTTTTTCTCCAAACCCCACTGATATAATCAGGTTTTGTTGCCTTTTTTCTTTTTGCTTAGACCCGGTCGGCCAACTTCTGCAAAAGACCCTGTAGTAAATATTTTAGGCTTCTTATATTAACATGATAAGAAAATGTCATTAGGCAGTCCTGAAGGAACAGTGCTACGCTGGAGGCAGGACACTATGGACACTAACTAGGAGGTAGCTGTGTCCTTTCAGATGAAAGATGGTGCCAGCATCAACTCAGGTAGAGGCAGTGGGACTCATGGCACAGGCATACACTGGGACAAAAGCAAGCACACAGACTGATATAATATGATGCTTCCCTGGTTCCCGGCTTAGGCACCTAATAGGCAGTGGTCCCATTTACTAAGAAAGGAAACATAAACAGAAGTTTGGGAGTAAGTCGAGGAGGAGGACATGAATAGTTCTGTTTTTAAAATGTTGAACTTCAGGTGTCTGTAAGACATCTACGTGAAGTATATACTCAACAGCTCAACATGGAGCCCAGAAAGGATGATGGCCATGACAACAATGGTAACATTTACTGAGCTTTTATTCTAGGTCAGGTAATATTTTAAGCATTTTATACATATTAACTAATTTCATTCTTCCAATAACCCTAGAAGGTGGACACTACTATTTTTTAGAAGATGAAAATTTTATAGAAGATGAAATTAACACACAGAGCAGTTTCATAACTTGCCTGAGAAGATAAACTGGTAGTTGGTACAGCTGGGATTGGTAATATTCCCTGAGTCTTGGGCCCATGCTTTAAACATTAGGCTTCACTGCCTCTCCTGACATGTATTTGGGAATTGCATATAATTTGGAGGATTGGTGAAGACACAGGAATGAAAGAAGGTACAGAGAGAAAGAAAAGGATGAGGGCTTGGGAACATTAACATTTCAAGGAGAGAGGGACCATCCGTGATTAAGGATGCAGGGAAAAAGGATAAAGATGACCAGTGGTTTTGGTGTGAGTAGCTTTAGCTGTCAGAGTGGGGTTTGAACAAGACAGGAGTAATTTAAGGTGAATAAAAAAATGGAGACAGAGAACATAGAATGTAGATCACACTAAAAAATTGTGGTTGTTAAGGAGAAGAGAGAGAAATGTAGGCTTTAGCATGTTTAAAAGTTGATGAGTTAGAGCCAGAAAAATGGGAGAGGAGAAAGGTGAAAATTGCTGAAGACAAAGTCCTGAGGAAATGGAAATATATTGTGTAGTTATCAGTGGTGGCTCTATAATTAAAATGTTTAGATTAAAATCCAGCCTCTGCTACCTATTAGTTGTTTACCTTGGAAATGTTATTTAATCTCTCAAAGCATCAATTTCTTTACCTCCAAAATGGGCATAATACTACTATCTCCTTCTTAGATATAAGGCTTAAACAAGATAACACAGGGAAAAGCAAGGATATAGTTAGGTGCTTAGAAAACATTAGCTATTATTATAATTGGATCTGGACCACAGGTAGAGGGGCTACTCTTCATTAAGAAGAGACACATTTTTTATGACAGAAAAGGATGAAATAATAGGAACAGATGACAGGTAAGTCTGGGTGGGAGGGAGGAGAGAGGCAGCTTTTTACTGATGTTTTTCAATGTTCTTGGTTAAGAACAAGGCCAGGCCAACAATTGGAATGAGGAGCTGCTAGTAGGACCGGGCTTGGGGAGAGCAGAGAGCCTTGCTGGGACACTATCCAGTGAAATACCAGGGGGCCCTCAGCAGAGAAAGCTCCATGAGCCTGCTTAGAAGGCCAAAGTGACATGTCTCTGACTTCTCCATCTGTGCTCAGCAACCCAGATACAGGAGTGAAGAAAGCAGAGTGATGAAATTATCTCATGATCAGGGTTTGATGGGCAAGTGTGATAAAAGATTAAGAGACCATAGGTTATTTTCAGCATTAACAGCAGTGACTAAAGTGATAGAATGTGGGTTTTAGGCTGGATAGGGAAGGAAATAAAGACCAAAAAAAAAAGAAAAAAGAGAGAGAGAGAGAGAGAGATGATAATTTCAGAAAAAGTAAAAGGATCAAAGGAGTGCATATTGATGAAGTCAAGATGCTGGATTAGGTATTAGGGATATTCAAAGAACGAGATAGCTATATTCTAGCTCTCACAAATCTTGCAGTCTAGCGTAAGGTAGAAAATTAAACAAATAATTAGAATTAAAAACGTCACAATGATAGAGACTAAAATCTTAAGGGGGTACAATGCAGGAGTACCTACTAGTTGCCAAATTGGTTGGGAAAGGTTTTCTATGGAAGTAATTGTTAAGCCGAGATCTGAAGGACAAAGAGAAATTAGCCATGAGCAGAGGAAGGAAAGTACACTCTGTAACAAGAGCATGAGCAAAGCCCAAACAAACACAGAGTATGAAGAAGCAAGGACTGAAAGGCTTGTATGACTTGCCTATAAAGACACTGGAGTTTACATGGGACCAAAACATTAGGACCACAACTCACTATCACTTAAAAGGAACAGTAAGCAAAGAAATCAGCAGTCACAGTGGTGATAGTAAGAATCAAGATCTTGAAATATAGCTTAATATGCTGGCATGCAGTGCACTAAAATTCAAGATTTAGCTAAAAAGAAACACACTGTACCTTTGAACGAAATGTTGGATGAACAAAATAAACAGCCTTCAAATTCCTCTTGTATCTGATTTGAAATAAAAACAAGGGTCAGTATGTCATGCTATGGACAATTAACTCTGCTAGAGTATAGAAATATATTCACAAAGAAAAAAAGTTAAAAGTAGCTCTAGCTCACTTATTGAATTTTAGGTGAAATGTCAAAAAATGATTCAGAGAACTTTTCATTATTTAAATTATTTGTTTTATAAAAGATGTTGTTTCTCTTGGCTGTGACAGAGCCACCTACAGGTAGAACAAAGTAATTTCATATTTAACAAACACTGTGTGCCATTTTTTTATATTGCACTAGAATCTCTGGGACCAGACTATGAACTAACATACTCATGGGTCACTGGGTCAAATAATATTTATAAATGTATTTTGATAAAAGTAACACATCTTATTAATAAAAAAGGTAGTATTTTTGTTATTTTATATAAAGATTGGTAATGATCCCAACCCTTTTTCAAGATGTTTTTTAAAAGCAGGAAAAAGTTTACATATGAATTGCCTTAGATGCAAAACATGCTGGAGTTAAGGAGGGCCTCCTCATATTAAAATATCTTCTCTATATATGATAAAATTCTGTTACATGAAATACATTTTTTTTTGCATAATACTAAGCAATATTTGTTTATTGATTAGTATTAGGAAAGAAAGAAGCTATCTCCCCTCTTCATAATTTGCAAAAATAACTAACTTGACATCAACAACATCGTAGAGCTTCTTCAGGAAGTCAGAGTCCAGGTGATTGTATTCGCTGGTCAGTGTGTGAAAATACACTAATACATATTCTTTCACAGCAATGTGATCCATTACATGGATAAAATATAAGAGAGCCTAGAATAAAAAGAGAAGTAAAAGTAAGATCACAGTGGTCTATTTCACAGAAGCCAAGAATGAGGCAAAACCCAGAAGATTAGCCTCATCAATGCCCCTGGCACTGCAGACAGACATCTCAGACTAAAGAGTATCAATTTTCTTTTAAAAGAACTTCAGGAAAGTGAACCATGCCAGTGTTATGTAATTCTCAGAAATGATACAGTAGGATCCATTTTTGCCTTGTTCTTTCTAAATGGTGGAGAACAATCAATCTCTATCCTCTCAAATAACTCTTCCTATACTCAAAAGAGTTCTTCAGTCAGCTGCCAGGTTTTCCCTCTGTAGGATAATGATATTAATATCATTAGAAGTACAATTTGTAGACTTCTGATCTTTCCTGAGGATTCCACATGAACTCAATGAAAATCTTTGCAGTCTCTACTGGGATATAGACTTAGGTCTCTCACATAACCAAGAACTGCTATACAAGGACATTATGAGTGATGCCTCCCTCCCATGGCTCACTTTGAGGACTAATTTTTTTGGCATCTTTAACGTTGACCTGAATGAGAAAAATGAGAACAGGTTTAGTCAGTAGGTGGCAATGGACTGGGTAGCTTTCGAAGGCTCAAATTTAATGTGATCCAGATCACATCAGAGAAATAAGTATTAGAGAAATAGTCCATATAAGAAGGATGAAATGTAAGAGAAACATTAAACACAAAGCAGAGATACAATATGGGCAGGGCCAGGATGACCCAGTGGTGTGCCTATAAACAATGACATAGAGGAAGCTAAGAGTTTACAACTGAAAGATTATTATCAAACAGGCGATTTCCCAGTTCTTCTCAGGAGAGTCCTTGGCACTGTCAGGAGTGGACTGAGATGAATTAGCTTCCAACTACTGGCAGAGCTGACAGAGGGCACTAAGAAAACACAGTATCTTTCCAGTTTGTTGGTTTGGGCCTCACAATATATCTCATTATATTATATGAAATGGTACATAGTGGATATTCAGAACACCAAGCAAGGACACACCAAAATCAAACTCAGAGATTCATGTTTTTATTGGTTATCCATCATATTATAATGAGAAAGAATCAATGTCATACTGATTGTTATTAACACAAAACGAGTAAAGTAGAAACTTACTAATGATATCATTTGCATCAGCTGAGTTTTTCCTCTGCGTGTGTGTGTATTTTTGTTATTATTTCTGCTTTTACCAGACTGCTTCTGATCCTCTATTTCTATCTACTCTCTACCCCTCCCCAGGGCAATTAAAATACTCATTTCCAGCTTTAAATTCCCCATCTTTAACTTAACCTTTTTTCATTATAAGGAAGTATAAGCCACATGACAGAAAAATGGAGAAAACAAATTCTCCCTAAAACCATTAAATCCATTTCAAAATATTTACATTTTGAGTTTTTACCTTTATGCTTAAAACAAAGCAAGTTAAGGTCAGTGTGTAGGCAGCTTAATGTATCACTTTCTCTCCTACCAATATTATAAGTATTTCTCTACAGTACTTGTCTTTAGAACCATAATTTTTAAGGGTCACAAACCATTCCATTTGTGGATACACCATAATTACCTGTTAGGAATTTAAGTTCCAATTCTATGCTACAAATGGGTCTGTGGTAACATGCCCGGTCCAGTGCTTCCACAATTTTTTTAATGTAAACACCACTGACCAGGAAACTAAGGGCTTAGCCAGAAGCAATTATCTGCTTTTGTATAATTGCGTTTTATGTTAAAAAATAGGTGCGATTTTTACATTTTTAAAGGGCATAATTTGTTACTGTAGTTAAGAATGATTTATTAAAGTGATTCTCTTCTCTTGCAGTCAGTTTCTAATAATACTGATATTCTAGGACAATTTACATATTTATCTTTTAGATTCAATGGTCCCTTGCCCAAGTATTCCAATTTGGGCAGTTTCAGGGTCAACAGCTACTTCCATACTTCAGGTTATTTCCTTAGTACAAATTCTGAAGAACTGAATTCTTGGGTCAATGGATGTGACCATTTTTATCATTTCGATTCATCTTTGATGACAATGATTATTATTTGAGATTTCTGGCTAGTTTTGAAGGCAACAAAAGGTCTGTCATTCTGATTCGCTTTTTTTCCCCCCGGATTACTAACCGTTTTTTAAAAGCAGAATCATTTTCTTATTTATTTTACCAGAAAGACTCGGCTATTTCCGTCCTTTGCCTCCAAATGAAGGGATTGTGGCATTACGACATTTTGGGTTAACTACATCCCTGACTTCTTCTCTTCAGATAGATATTCAAGAGTTAATTTTTCTTTTTTCAAGAAAAGCAGTATTCGAATGTTAGCATAATTATAACCCAGAGTGATTCCAACCCAAAACTTGCCAGTTGTGTCATATCTGAAAGAGAGCAGTTGCGTTTTTGATCACATTATTGGATTCTAGTATTTTTTGTTTCTCCTACAGAACCAAACCAAACCCCTTACTGAAATGGTACGTGCCAACATGCAGAGCCAGGGTCGCTCCTCTGCCCAGATACACACAATTCTGCCCCATCTCATATTCTAAGTTCTGATTCCAAATTCATACCCTACTAATCATGAAAATCAACATTATATGTAAAACAGAGCCTTTCTGTGGCTTACCTTGTCCATATCTATTAATGTGACAGGAATGTTTCTTCCAACTACCACCATCACTGTGCGACCACAGTTATCAACACCTGTGAACAGGAAATGTGATCAGCGCCCAGAGACTTTATTCCAAGACTGGACTCTGATGTTATAAAAATATTCTACACAAATATAAAAGATTGAAAATCAAGAACTTAACATTTTTTAAATTTTATCTTCAGATGTCTTTCACTATAGAAAACAATACTTTTTTTTTTTTTTAGCTTCATTAAATTTTGATGACTACCCTTACTATTAAGATAAGTTTTCTTACAGGTTTTAAATCAGGAACAGCCAAAGGTAAGGCTGCAGGGCACAGACCTTTTATACATAGCTTTTTGCTTAAGTTCGCTATGATTTTTAATAACATTAGTGATCCAGGAAAAACTACTTGGAACTCAACTCTGAAAATTAACAAGTACTGTCTGAAAAAGAAATTTAGTGCGGTAAGGAGTGGAAATCTGAGAAATTTCACCATCTCCATCATATGTTTATGTAAGGTTTGAATTTTGTACAGCAAGTGAATGACATTTTTAAAAGCAGAAAAAATGTTCAAAGGTAAGAAAAAGGATATTAAGAAGAAACAAAGTTGGCCAATGTAGAACTGTAAGATGAAAATCTCTAGGCTGATGTGTTATTTTTACAATCTTGACAATGAGCAAAAACTACCCCCATTAGTATAAAAATTACTTTTTTCACAGATAAAACAAAATCAGAGAAAAATGAAGTTTCTAACAGCATTCGAGAGAAGGTCCTTAATTAGTAAAAGTTACTATGTCCTTAAGCTCACCTGTTTGGTATAAGGCTTTTAGAGAAGCAATATCAGATAGATCCTCAGATCTTGCTTGACATAACCAGCGATTGTAACTAGAGAAATAAAGGACATAATTATTAAAATAACCCCTTGTAAATTAAATTTACAAATGGAATCTGTTTTTATCTTTCCCTAAAGAATGGGATTTTATTATAATGTGCAAGGAATTAAGGAGGTCATTATACTATGCAGAAACTCTACTAATGTGTTATTGATAAATACAAATGAGTTACCCAGTAACTGAGAAAGGATGGTGTTCATACGAAACGATTTAAAAAAATCCTTTATGATAAAGTGAAGACTAGTCATATAAATGGCAAAGATACCAAGTACTCAATTTAAGTTTTCAAATACTGTTATTTTCCTTTACTAAATAAAAAACATGCAAATAGGAAATCTTAAAGCAAAAGCAGTTATCTAAAACAGATTTCACTCATCCAACAACAACTTGGTTTTGAGAATCCTACAGTGAACAGACACGGTCAGTGCCCTCAAGGAGTTTACTTTTCATAAGAAAAACAGGTAAATGTTCAACATGTTATGTGGGACCACAAAGGAACTAGGTAATTTTATGCGGGAAGTCCAGGCTTATTTAATGATTGGTTAATCAAACCAGCTGCCCCGATAATGCATATAGCAGATCCTAAGGACTGCAGCCTGGCTTTAGCCAAGAGGGCATTAAAACTAGAAGAGACGTTAAAGATCTCAAAGAGGGTAAATGACCTGCAAAAGGTTGAGCTTATCTTAGTTACCAGCCAATTATTGGTGGAGCTGAATTTGAAGCTGTACTCAGATCTCCAGATTTCTGAAAAGGTTAGTATTTTTTCTACTATTTCATACAGCTTTCTTAAAATTCAAAGGGCCACTCATTTGCGAAAAAAGCTTTCAAGGCACTGAAATGCATGAAAAGCAACTTTTTTTTCAAAGATTTTATTTATTGATTTGACAGAGAGAGATCACAAGTAGGCAAAGAGGCAGGCAGGGGGTGGGGGGGAAGCAGGCTCCCTGCTGAGCAGAGAGCCTGATGCGGGGCTCAATCGCAGGACCCTGAGATCACGACCTGAGCCGAAGGCAGAGGCTTAACACACTGAGCCACCCAGGAGCCCTGAAAAGCAACTTTTGAAGCATCTAGGTCACACAGGGCAACATCCCATAACATAAGGAAAACTAAACCAGGAGGGGGTGACTTGGTTTCTAATCCTATTACTTTCTGTGCAACCTCAGTAAGTAAAGCTGTTTCACCTCTATGGACTTGCTTCCTCATCTGTCAAGTGGTGCTTATGAAGAACACTTTTCAGCTATAAAGCACAATTACACAGCTAAGGATATTTAATAGGAAGCCTATTACATTTGGATTGTAATCAACAATGCCTGCTAGTGTCACAGAAATTGTAACTGCCTGTAAAAAAAACAGTTGGTATCACATAGTTCCACAGTTTTCCTTTTTAAATTTGGAAACTTGGGGAACCTGGGTGGCTCAGTCTGTTAAGAGTCTAACTCTTGATTTCGGATAAGACCATGATCTTAGGGTCGTGAGATCAAGACCCAAGTTGGGCTCTGTGCTGGGCGTGGAGCCTACTAAAGATTTTCTCTCTCTCCCCTTTGCCCTCTGCCCCTATCCCCTTCCTTTAAAAAAAAAAATAAATAAATAAAAAGAAACTTGCCCACCAATGTAAACTGAAAAATCAAAGAGAAAACAGCTTTAAATTTTGGTTTAAGACACAATTTGCAAGTCAAGAGAAGACCTATGTTTATGGTAGTTCTCCTTATCTGTATGTTCTGTTCCTATTTTTACATGGAGTCACTTCCTTGGTTATTCACACTAAATTCCCAATCGTACTGTTTTCTAATTGTCTTATGATTAAGTCATCTTCACAACAAGATTGAACGGAATGCATTTTAAGTGGCTTATAAGCATCATAGGTCCTAGCACAAATCATGAAACAGGAATTCAGTAAATGTCGGTTAATTTCTATACTCCATTCTTGGATTCATTAGCTCATTTCTCAATGATGTACTGTGTTCATGCAAGGGCCTGCATCATAGTAGGGACTCAGATCTTTGTTTAATGAAATAGTAAACATGAATATTATTCAAGATATTTTGGGGGGCATCTGAGAATGATAGCAAAAGGTCCTTGGCTTCAAAGAGTTTAAAGTTGAACATACCAGATAGACACATGAAGAATTAACTCTGTGATAAGACACAATGAAACAAGCAATCCAGCAGAGGTCTAAATATTCTATCACTACACCAAGGGGAGGAGAGGACAGCAGAGTGAGGGCGAGTGGAGTGGAGTCAAGGTCCAGACATGTGGAACTAACTGCTCCCCCTTCTTTGCACCATAAAGATTAGCACAAGGCTTCACCCACTTACAGCCAGTGTTTGCTTCTGCTCTTAGACAACAAAGAGGGGATGCATCTTATTTGTCTCTATATGTGCAGGCAATCTCCAGGGTTACTCCTGATGCTGAATAACAATGTGTTCAATGAACTCTGAAAAAAATTTTTTTCAAACTGGAATTCAGGTGCACAAAACAGAATTAACCTTGGTTCAAAACACTCTCATCATGGGTACACACATGGTTTTCTTTAAAAAACTGATTATCTAGGGGTGCCTGGGTGGCTTAGTCAGTTAAGCACCTGACTCTTGATTTCTACTCAGGTCAGGAGATTGAGTCCCAGTCTGGCTCCGCCCTCAGTGGGGAATTGGCTTGAGAGATTTTCTCTCTCTCTGCCCCTCCCCATGCTCTTGGGCATACTCCCTCTCTCTCTAAAATCAATCAATCAATCAATCTTCAAAATGTTTTAAAAACCGGTTATCTAATTAGTTATTTTTAATGAAGTAATAAGCATTCTGAAACCTACTACCCCAAACAAAAGCTAGCACCCAGCAATAATCTACCTCTAATCTCATGGTCATTCCCCTTTGATTCTAGCCCCTGCCCCCATAACTGGTCTCTAGAATCGCCCACCCATCATTTTCTTTCTTCCTTTTTATATCCTTTTGGTTCATCTGATGTATTCCTAAAGTTTTTTGGAAAAAGCTTATTATACTGTATGCAATCTTTTGGGTCTGACTTGGATTTACTAGACTGCTAGCATTGGGTGGCAATGCTGTTCATTCACTTTGACAACTACATGATCTATCTGTATCATATGGAAACTACAGTTTTTTTAATCCACTCTCTTACTGGTAGGTACTTGGGACTGTCCCCAGGTTTTTGCTCCTGTGCATAGTGCTACGATCAACTTATTGATGTTATTGATCAACTTACTGATCATTGAACATGATACATGTTTCCTGGTCTATGTGTGCATGATTTCTCTTGGGTAGATACACAGGAGCTGAAGTGCTGGGTTATAGGTATATTCGGTTTTAGGAAATAAGACCAGACCTCTTTTCCAAAGTGGTGTACCCATTTATATTTCTACAAGCAGTGAATATGAGATCCTGTGAATCCATGTCCTTCTCAACACTTGGTATCAGCAGATATTTTAACTTCTGCCAATCAGGTCTGTAATGGTATCTCATTTCTTTGGTCACTAGTGATGCTGAGAACCCGTTCATGTTCAATGGACATGTTTCCCTCTTTTGTGAGATGCCTGTTCATATTGTTTATTTTCTATAGGCCTATTGGTTCTTTTCTTACTTGTAGGAATTCTTGGTATATTCTTGATAGTAATCATTTGCCAGTTATATTTACTTTGAATACTCCCATTCTATAATTTGCTTTTCACTTTCTTTAAGATTCATTGCCCCACTTGCCAGTGTTCTTAATTTTAATATAATCAAAGCTATTTTTTCTTTTATAGTCGATGCTTTTTATATCTTGTTTAAGAAACCTGTCCTTTCTCCAAGGTATAAAAGATACTAGCCTATAGCTTCTTCTATGAGTTTTAATTAAAAAAAAAATATTAAGTCCTTAATCTATCTAAAATTGACTGTAGTCCACGGCGTGAACTCTGAAATACCATCAACTCTAAAATGTTTTGAACCTTGATCTGTGATTAACAACTTGAGATCCCAGAATAGATTCTGGTTGGCAAAAGCAACATCTATGCAAGCATGTTCATGGGGAGAAGGCTTATAGCTTACATGAGAATTTTAAAGGCTTTATGATTCAAAAAAGGTTTAGTATCATTGCTGAGACACTGGTGCTGCTCCAGTTTCTAAGGATTGAAATGAAGTCCAGGGCAGCAACTCAACACTATCAGCTTCATCTGGTTTCTTCTTTATTTATTTATTTTTTAAAAAAATATTTTATTTATTTATTTGACAGAGAGAGAGAGATCACAAGTAGACAGAGAGGCAGGTGGCGGGGGGGGGGAGGAAGCAGGTTCCCCGCTGAGCAGATAGCCCGACGCGGGGCTCGATCCCAGGACCCCGAGATCATGACCCGAGCCGAAGGCAGAGGCTTAACCCACTGAGCCACCCAGGTGCCCCTGGTTTCTTCTTTATTAAGTCTCCTCCACGCCCACTAGGATCATGTAAGCTTGATTTGATTATCTAGTTAATTTTCTTTTCTTTTAAATAAGTATTTGGGAGGCGGGAATAAAAGCAAAAAATTCCTCAGTCAGTAGAGAAAAAATGCTTCATTTCCCTCATCTAGTCAGAAAATATTTTAAAATTTCCATTATATCTCTTATAAACTGCACCTCATTTTTTGCTGTTGTTTCTGCATTTTATTTCTAAAGATATGTAAGCTTTTATCCCAATCCAACAATCAAAAGCTAAAAAAAGGAAAACATCAACTCAAAATAGTTTCTTGTTTTCTTAGAGCTTATTCCAAATAAACAGATTTCTATTACTTGTTGGGTAAACTTATAGGTAAACAGTCACACAAATTATGGCAAAATGGCAGCAAAGGTGGCCACTACAGAGCTCTGAAGGTAGAAATACTACATAGTTTCTCAACAGGCTGCAATCAGCTAAGGTTGGTTGCTGTCCTCATAAAGCTAGTAAAAGGCAATCTCTTCCAGTTAATCAATTACTGTCCACATGCATAGTCACAGGTTGAATGATGAAGAAAATTTACCCTAAAAACTCTTAA